AACTTCAAACAGACAGAAATACAGTAAATAAATGCCCCCTGGTGGGAGCTATAATGCTAAAAATTGGTTTTTGATACACACACACTGAGCAGAACACAGATAGCCAACTGTGTAGCTTTGTGCTACAAATAAAATAAATAAATAAAGATATTACTTTCTCTGGTGAAATCCACTTTTATTATGAACATTTTAGCAAAATAACTTATACTTGTTTAGTAAATGATTACAATTGAGACTGTATGCATCAAGTGTATTACCTCATTTGTTCTCAAAGCAGTTTAATTATTATACACCAGAAAACAGGTTGACAATTTCTATTTCAAACGAAAACTACGAAGCATCCATTGTCTTTCGTACTTAAAGTAAAACAATGGCCAGAGTCATTAAATCTTATTGTTTTGCTCAATGTTGATGTAAAGTATACTAAGATATAAAAAGGGTGTCTTTTATAATCATATAGATGTGCATGCATAATTCGAGTGTTATCCTTCTTGAACAAGCAAAGGTCAATGTCCTCATTTTCTGACTTTTTCGTTGCTGTTTGTTCCCCTGTGGCTTATAATAGATAGCCTACCGTGTGTGGCTTTGCGTTTAACAACAGGCAAACAGACAGTTTTTGGCTCCTAAATCTAAGTCACAAGTCTTTTGGTAGTTTTGAATTGGCTAGAAAATTTGTAAAATACGTATTATAAATGGGATTGTAACCGCAAATCTGCAATGGCAGTACTCGAAGTTTCCAACTATGTATAATATCATTCGTTTTCTGTTTTAGTTTGGCTCTAAATGGTTATTGCTGTGTACCTTTAAATGTAGAGGTTATTTAAAACACGATCATTTAATTAAAACACCTATGGCCTAGTGGTTAAAGCACTCGATTCGCAATTTGAGGGTCACGGGTTCGAACCCCTGTCACCGAACATGCTCGCTCTTTCACCCTTGGGGGCGTTATAATGTTCGTTGATAGTTGACTGTGGGTGGTGTTGACCAGCTGTATTCCCTCTAGTCTATCACTGCTAAATTAGGAACGGCTAGCGCAGATAACCCTCGTGTAGCTTTGCGTGAAATTCAAAACAAAAACCAAAAAATAATAATAATAAAACACTTGCTGAAACAGGGCAATTTTTGCTTTCGACACATCGAGTGTTTAGCAAAGAATACTTTTCGTAGATCAGTTGTCACTCTAAGAAGAAAATGTTCCTTTTGATTACTCTCATATATCCGGAATCTTGCTTGGCGAATACCTTTGATCCGGATTCCTAATATTAATCATCAAGTTATTTAAGATCCGCTCAGTTCCACATTTAATTAAGTACTGTAGCGTAAGAAGCTTTTTTGCTTTTGTTCTCTAAACACTTGAAACAAAATATATCAGGAATCTTATTGATCAGTTTTTTGTATGTTTGTTTTGTTTTTGCCTTCTGGTAAGCCAGTGGTAAGAGTATGAATTCACACCATTAAAATCCGGGGTTCGATTCCCTACGGTGGAAAAAGTTCAGATAACTCGTACGTAGCTTTGCATTGACTCGAAATCTGAGGGTTGTTGGATCGAAACTCGTCTTCGAACATTCTTAGACATTCAGCCATAAGGGCATCATAATTTACTGTCAACCCGTTATTTGTTTGGTAAAGAATAGCCCAATAGTCGGCGGTGGTTGCTACTGACCAGCTTCCTTTCATCTGTTCTATCCGTTCAAAATTAGGGACGGCTAGAGCAAATGGGCCTCAAGTATCTTTGCTTGAATTTCAAAACAAACAAATACAGTAGATTTACGCTAGAACAACAAAGAATTCGTGTTATTTTAACTGTTCCAATGTTTGATGATATGCCTCAATATGTATCGTTAGTGATAAGACATGAATAAAAAACACGAGTTTTTTTGC